GAGAGACTGGGTAGGCCTATCAGGATCCACTGATTTCCCTCTTTCCTGTCCACTCTCTCTCTTTCTTTACATTTTTAATCACAATTGTCTATTTTTGCTCATTTTAAATATATTTTTAAACATTTTCTAAATGCTTTTTTATATTTTTACATTATCTTTTTGTTTTTTTGTGAAGCGCCTCATGTTTTTTATCTTGAGAGGCGCTATAGAAATGATATTTTCTTCTTCTTCTTCATATATTTAGTCTGGTTAAACCAGCAGAAAACAGAATAATTCCCTCACTTACAAGGTTAGAAATCATTCCAGTAAATTTACTAAATCTGACTTTAACACCTGAAAATGTTAAAATATGAGTGATAATTGGCTACTTTTGACTTGGACCTACTGGAGATTAGCCAGTGATGCGTCTTCTAAATCAAGCTGGACAGAAAAAGCGCCTCAGCCCGCTGTGAGATGGGATTTTGTAGTTAAATGTAAACCCAGAGGCACGTTTTAAATTAGAAGTCGATTTCTTAATTAAACCAATAGCACGGAGCCACAGTGACAGCTCTGTGGTGCTCTGCCTCAGTAGAACTCAACATGCTGCCAAAGTTTCTTCAGAGTAATGATTAATGCCTCCAATTTCTGCCATCTGCAATGAATGAAGCATCATGGGTAATTAAATAACTGTCTAAAAAGCACTGACAGCACTCGTAAAATCACAGGGTCATAATTCCCATGACGCCTGGATTCCCCCTGACTTAAACACTAATTAAGCATCAATAACTTGGAGATTTATGTTTTCTAGAGAAATCAGAAATAATCAAAACACAAGTCGTCGTCTTCAGTGCACATTTTTTTTATTGAACAATTTCTCAAGTAAGTCCCCAGGATTAACAAACCCCCATGCTTCAAGCACATGTAACCCTGTTTCAATATTTTAAACATAATAGGGCACAAGAGACAAACATCAATCTTACTTATTACTTTTTATTTCATTTTAACGTCTGCCGCCAGGCTCTGCAGGCGCCTCCACAGAACTGAACTCACCTCACTGACGAAGAGCGTAGCTTCTTCTAGTCGGCATCATCACAAAAGCATTGCACTGTTTCAGGAAGAGGGATGAGGGACGCGCTGCAAGGTTTATGCTTCCTCCATGATTCATAAATAGGTGTTGTTCCAAAACAGGGAATACTCCTTCAAGCACAAATTTACGGAACAGAGGAAGAAATCCTCTCAGGGTGGCGAGTGGCTGAGAATATAAAATTAAAACGCCCACAAGAAAATGTTTCCTTTGCTACAATTTAAATCAAGCCTGTTATGTTTTATTGCCTTTCCTCTCCAGGATAAATAGGGTAATAAAGAAAGATGCCCATTCCGGTCCCGTTGGCATTTCAGGCGGTCCTTTTGGAGCAGTAAAGATGCCCACTTGATGGATGCCACAGCTCTACACACTACGGGCCGACAAAAATGAGAAAAGCTCATGGATGCGACGGCTGATAATGGCAAAATAAATAAATAAATAAATAAGGACAACTGCAACACACAGAATGAGTGAAGGTGGCTAAAAATAATACAGCTCCATGCAATCCATCTGTTAAAAAACAGCAAACTCTAGGACAAGTAAAAACAGAGAGAGATGGAGGAGACAGCTGCAGCAACCTGAGATGGAGAGTTGACGGATGCTGAAACAGAAAAAGAAAACACCAAGAAGCTGACAGACTCTCCTCTTCTGGGTTTTCACTACACCGGTCTGTAAAGAAGCTCCCCAGAGACGAGTCGGCGTTTCAGCTCCTTCCACAGCAGATCTCTCTCTTTTTGTGCACCCTTCATGAAGCCACGGTTCTCCTGCGCTCGTCGAGACAGGTAGGGCATCACTTCGCTCACCGGACCGTAGGGGACGTACTTGTAGACGGGAAAACCTGCCCGGCCTGGGATCAAAGGAGAGGGACGGACAACGATGACTCCCTTCATCTTTGCTGCTTGTCTTTCTTATGCTCAAAAACTTTCCATAATAAAAAACTTCCACGTTCCATTTTAGATAAGCTAAAAGAAATAAGCAGGACAAGTGGATCTATTTGGCTTTTTTCTCTACAATCCTCTTAAGGCAAGCCTGCAACACCCACATTCTCAGTGTGCTGCTTTTCTGTCTGAAGAGCTGCCAGTCCAGCACACAGTGAGACCGTTTCCCAAAGCTCGCTTACTTAAAAGAAGAATAAAAAAAACCTTCTGAACTAATGCAAAACATCAAAGAAATAAAACTAAACATCCACGGAGCCCTCCCGCCACTAGCATATCTAGAAAGAGAATCATGAAAGTAAAAACAGCACATTTGGTGCATCAGTGACTGGCAAATAATAAAGATCTGGGTTTTAATCTGTTTCTTTGTTTTGGGGATGCTCTTTCCCAGCAGATGTGGAGTTCAGTACCGATCTACTAGCCCGGCCTGCCAGACTCGTCCTCTGTTTAACTCTGCACAGAGAGAGTCTGGTCACTCACAGGCAGAGAGGCACATGAGGGGCGGGACTAGGCAGCTCAAAAATGACCAATCAGAAAAAAGACGGAAATCCCGACTGCCGCACGACGAGGTAGATCTCTGGTTGTAGTAAAAAAAATAGCGTCTGGCAACGGCGCAAACGTCTTTTATGTTTTTAGAAGAAATGCTTTTAGCGCTTCTACTTGTTGTGGTTTTAAAGACATCTGGGTCAATTAGAGCAGAGGAACGAGCCGCAGCGAACTCCGCTCCAGTCGCCATGTTTATGACAAACTCTGCGCTGTGGTGTGTGACGTACGATACTCAGCGCTGATTTATTTTTACCTTTCCAAGGTGTGCTTTACTGTGTCCTCGTTGTGTGATGCCACCATTACGTTGGCCTTTTTATTGAGCGCCATCTCTTCAGCACATAGTCCAAACACCTTCCAAAGATTCACAGAAAAGGAGACTTGGCTATCAGTGAGTGGGTGGTCCCAACATTTCTGTTAAACTATAAAGCATCATAAAAAATCTAATCGAACTAAAACAATTATCAGGTGATCGACGCTTTAAAACCAAGCTATTGTTTTCTAAGTAGATTTCAGTGATTTTGTAGGTAGAAACTTTACAGACTTCCCTCTGCAGCCCTCTGCTGACCACATTTCAACAGTTTTGTTGGACGGGTAGGTGCTCTCTACCTGCTTGTAGACCTGTATTTGTATAGCACATTCTTAGGGTTCTACAACCCCCTAAGGCGCTTCACAACACAATCAGTCATTCACCCATTCACACACACTGGTGGGGATGAGCTACGATGTAGCCACAGCTGCCCTGGGGCGCACTGACAGAGGCGAGGCTGCCGAACACTGGTACCACTGTTCCGTCCAACAACCGCCAGCAGGCAAGGCGGATTAGGTGTCTTGCCTAAGGACACAACAGCAGCATTCTCTGGTTAGAGCCGGAATCGAACCTGCAACCTCCCGATTAGTGGACAGCCCGCTCCACCTCCTGAGCTGCTGCTGTCCCCTTTTTAGTTTGCCGACCATCAATAAAAGATAGAAGAAGTAGAAAAGGAAGAATTTTGCTTTTTGTCGGGATCATCGTAGAGCCTAGAGCAGGCCTATTCAATTACTTTCCCTACTGGGCCAGATTTCAAAATCGTGGATCAGCTTTGGGCCGGATACCCAAATCTTTATTATATATTTTACGGACAATGTTTAAATAATACATTTTAATATGTTGACTGATATTACCTCTACCACTAATACAACGACAAAAAAAAAAGCAATGCACAATGTCTTTTATTGCTTTAATGATCTGTATTAATTTACCAGCTGCAGAGCTGGTAATACAAACATTTGTTTTATTAACCTCCAATAACTCCGTCGCAGCTACTAATTAAACATTTACAATAACCATAGCTCGACCATTATTCTTGCAACTTTAGTGCGAGAGGTGGCACTTTTTGTTTTGAACAGGAAATGGAATATTTGGCTCATAGGAGCTGAGTGTAATGCACAGACAGTAGTGCAGAAAGGATTCAGTGAGAGAGGAGCGCAGGTTTGTTTTGATTGCATTCATATGGGAAAAGCTGGATTCACAAATATAGGTGGATCCAAACATACTGAGAACAGTCACAGCTACATTCCTGAGGTTTGGGAACTGATGGGCATTGATCTGACTCCAAAACTTAGCGGGGCCATTTGTGCGCAGCTCTTGTGGCATCATAAGTGATGACTGCATGTCCACCAACTCCAGGAGGAACTGTCCCTCATCAATAGAAGAGACCACTTTCTTAGCTTTGATGGACAATGTTTCCTCAGCGATGGCAGGAAATGGATCTTTCGTCAATTGCATCGCCTCTGTAGGAAGTGACAGATCCTCCAGGCCACTGGTGAAGTTGTCCTTCATTTTCGCGACTAAACCAGTCATTTCTGCCGTGACTTTCAGAGGAGAGGAGGCTTTACAGAGTGTGGGAAAATGTAGCATTCTTCCACCAGTCAAGTCAGTTGCGAACATGTTTAGTTTTGCCTGAAAGGCGCTTGTTTGCTCCACAAGCTGGGCTGGGTCATTGCTGGGTCACTGCTAACATAGACATGAATATGTAGAAGCCACACTATGGCAGCTCCAATAGACAACACCAGTCCACGGGGCGTCTACGTATATATGTCCCTGATTGCTAAAATGGTGTTGTGTTCAAGTGCAATATCAGTGTGGGAATTTAGAAACTTACATGCTTAAACTGTTTTTCAACAGTTTTTATTCCGTTGGTGGTTGGGGGATTGGGTGAGGTGGGCCAGCTGGGTAGGGCCCGCAGGCCGGATGTGGCCCACGGACCGCCATTTGAATAGGCCTGGCCTAGAAGTAAAATGATGAGTTTTGTCTTTGGAGGTGAAGCAAAGCAGAGAGAACACCCACATGGCCTACGCTAGCTTGAGGAAGCAGAAGGAAGTTATGAAATCATGCAACATACGCATAAAATCACCTGACTTTGTCACTGGATCTAGCTGTTCTACTTCTACGGAGGGAAAAAAAAGCCTAAATGTGTGTTAATTTGTGGATAGAGTGACTAAATTGATCAAAAATGACTTGTGTTTCAAAGATTAAGTGCACTAATGCTAAAAATGATATGTGCATGCTTGCAGTAAATTCTCTATTTGATTGGCGATTACCTTCACTAAGGTGTCTAGACGCAGTAAAATCCTCTCTAGCTGTTTCTCTTCCTCCGTTGTGAATTTCTGCAGCAGAGGCTCCAGTTTACCGAGCTGAAGCAGCAACACAGAGACTGAACTGTGAGACGCTACAAAAAGAACCAGATGTCAGACAGTATGCTGCATCTTAGTGTCAAACCATATTCACCGCTTGAATACGTTGAGTTTAGGATCAGCACACAGGGATAAGTCATAGTGTTTAAACCACCTGTCTTCTACATCTTTTAAGCCACAAAATCCAGCTCTAGCACGTTGGTGTGTAGAGATATTTGACCTGTGCTGTCTGGAAGTGGATTTGTCAGGCCCTGCTGCATGTGGGATGAAGGTTTCATGACTTGCACATCATTTGCAGGCTTTATTTGGAGTTTTTGGGGCCAGGATCTGTATTGTGTATTCTTAGAATGATTCCTGAGCAGATTTTGAGTCAGATGTTTATATCTAAACTAAATACATATTTTTGGCAAAAACCTTAAAGTCAAGCAATGTTTATTTCACCTGTCAGTAGTTTTTATGTGCTGCTCAGTTAAAGCACTTTTTTCCATCAATCAAATTCAAATTTAGCTTTGAATACTGATAAATGTGTCCAAGAGAGAGTTTATTTTATTATTTGAAACTGTAGTTGGAACACTCATTGTGCCTCCCTGAATATAGGCACGAAGTAGGTGGATTTCTTTATGAGTTACGGCTTCTCGCTTGAAGTCTTCTTCATAGACTGATGAAACAATCACGTAATGGACTGGGACCACACGTGCATGGTGGGAAGAGAAAGCGACAGGTACAACAGATGGACAACAGAAGCCATCAGCATCAGAGACCACGGAACAGCAACCATCAACAGAGACGAGGGGGCTCATGGACTAAGAACTTGGGACTCAATCATCAAAGGCACACCACCAAGCGTGCGTGGGAGTGCCCGTGGATCTGACAGCTCCACCTGCCACTCCCACGTGACGCGCACCGAGGATACCAGATTTAATCCACGTCATCGCTCCAACAGATGACAGCCCATGAAGACTGCTTCAAGTGGGAAGCCAAAACAATCCCCTGTTATATTCTTTGAGCCTCTCTATACTTTTAACATCTCTTTATTAAGAGGAAAAACCCTTAGAGATAATTTGTAGAAAAATGAGAAAATGACTGTCCTGCTGGCTGACGTCCAGGTGCTGCGGACAAATGAGGAAAACGGCAGGGAACGCAAGCGGTGGATCTCTCTGGCGTCCATTAGTAGTCTGGATATTCCAAGTCCATCCTGGAACGTGAGTGATTCAGCAGTCTTCGTTGTTGCTTTCCTCTTGTCTGACAAAGACATTAGCAGTAGCTCAGGCTAGCATTATCAGTAGTCAGGCTAGCGTTAGCAGTAGCTCAGGCTGGCGTTTGCAGTAGCTTAGGCTAGAATTAAGAGCAGCTTCGGCTAGCATTAGCAGTAGCTCTGGCTAGCGTTAGCACTAGCTCAGGCTAGCATTATCAGTAGCTCAGGATAGAATTAGCAGTAGCTCCGGCTAGCATTAGGAGTAGCTCTGGCTAGCGTTAGCAGTAGTTTGGGCTAGCATTGTTCTCCTCACATGGGACAGTGCTCCGCAAACCTCTGCTGACCAGAAACAACTTTTATCCATTTAGTGGAGCAGTTAGGTGCCCTAGAGGGAGCTCCTTACCTGCTTAATGACTGTTAGCTACTGTCTGTGCCATAGCTAATATAAAATCCAGCAGTTAGCCTTTTCAGTTTGCAGACAATCAATTTAAAAAAAAGAAAAGAAAAAAAAGAAGTCTGCATTGTTGTTGAGATCATGGTGAAGCCTGGAAGTAAAAGAAACCGAGATGCTTTGGAGGCAGAGCAAAGAGCTAAAACCAGAGGGAACATAGGAGTGGCTTACATTCATTTGAGGAAGCTAAAGGAGGCTATGCTATCACAAGCTGGTGTTGACCTGGCTTTGTTGATACTGGACTTGTAAGGAATAATATTTTTTGTCCATCAGCGTGGATCTTTTTCACTCGTGTTAGCCTGTTGTTAGTGCTAGCTACAGCAACCTGCTGCAGGGTTGTTTATGAAAGCTGTAATTCCACTTTCAACCAGTAGGAGCAAGAATCTGGAAACTCCTTAGTGTTACTTTAAGGGTGTGTCTAAGCTTATGACGTGTTAAACCAGCTTTTCCCAGACTGAACCGTTTATCTGTGTGTTACGTACGTTCGCCACTAGATGGCCCCCGCAGATCCCTCCTCATCCGGTTCCCTTCACAGCTGTTCTCAATTTAATCATCACCTGGTCACTGTTAAAAGGCTCGCCTCTCCTTCCATTCAGGAAGAAAGTCCAGGGTAGGGTAGACTCCTAGAGTTTATACTATTATACTATTCTCTTCTCCTCGTATGTTTTGGCAAAACTCGTCTCTCTCGCTAGTCTTCGGATTTCGGATATTTAGGATTTGACAATTTGGCTTCTTGACTTCGGAACATCCTTGACTTTGACTTTGGATCTCCCTGAGCTTTCCTGTTTATCAGGACTGCTCTTCTTATTTGTATTTGTACCCGTTCTGGGTTGGCGTTATCCGTTCTCCCTTTTGTATATAGTCCCTTTAGCTTTCTATATATATATATATATATATATATATATATATATATATATATATTATTATTATTATTGTTGTTGTAAATACCCTTTTTGTAATAAAATCTTCTGTTTTAGCGACACAGCACTTTGTTATTATTTCACCCGCACACCTCTTTTATTACTCCCTCTTCCTCATCACTCCTAGAGAGCCGGGGACGTAATACTGTGGTTATTACATCATTACTAATTTACGTATGAGAATAAGTCAGAGACAACAAAGGCTTTTAGTACGCTACGTTAGACACCTCAAGCTGCCTATAATCAAAATGGATGTGGTTTTAAATTCTAGAACACCTTTAAGTTCTAAAAATAACTAAAAGCTAAAAAGTGATTAAAAATCTAAACCAAAAACTAAATTTTTAAATTCTCTGACACAATGCATTTTATCCTGCACTTTTCTTGGTCTGTGCAAGATTGAGGACAAGTTTGCAAGATCAAAAACATCAGAGCTAACTGAATGAGTTCCATTTTGGCTGTAGCAACCATCTTGAATTGTGTGGACTTCTAAAGTTTACCAGACATTATGATTTACTGACCTCCACATTAGGAGCGACAAGTAGATCTGATGCCTTTGATCTGTCATCTATAAGGCTGTTCCAGTCAAGTATGTCGATGTGCCTGATGGGGACAAGGACAGAAAACTATTCAAATAATGTCATACCCTTAAAAATACTTTAAATAAAATAAGAAAGTATATATGTATGTGTATATATATATATACACAGTATATATATATATATATATATATACACAGTATATATATATATATATATATATATATATATATATATATATATATACACAGTATATATATATATATATATACACAGTATATATATATATATATATATATATATATATATATATATACACAGTATATATACTATATACACAGTATATATACTATATATACAGTATATATACTATATACACAGTATATATACTATATTTTTATATATATATATACAGTATATATATATATATATATATATATATATATATATATATATATATATATATATATATATACATGCCACCTATATATTTAAATAAATTCACCACCAATCTTCAACCTTAAAAAAAAACATTAAAAAATGTGTTCAAATGTGTAATGTTTCAGTTATTTTATGTCTTTAAACTTTTGTTTTAGATGAATTAAACTAAAAATGTGTAAAAACAAAAATCACATGATTGAATGATTATATCAAGTATCCTCACTGCTGATGTCAAGGTTTTTTGATACTATTGTTGTTTTGCTTATTATCCCAGAAGTAAACATCATCTACACAAATATGTTATTTTCACTGCGTATATATGACATCCATCCTGGAACTCCGTGTTCTTGCTTACCCCGTGGATTCTGTTTTCTTTCCCGTAAACCAACCACAGATGTCTCCTTTTGCTCCGAGTTTGGTCAAGAATTCCTGGAATGATATAAAGTCCCAGGGCCTCATTTATTAAACATACTGCGTAGGATCCACACCAACATGTGTGTTGCAGTAAAAACATGACAACAGAGACGCTGTGGAACAAACGTGAAACACGCAAACCCTTAGATAAATCTTTTTTTATAAACAACAATCCGTTTGAAAACTTGCCCAGTTGGACACACTTTATTTCCAACTAATAATCAACTCAAAGCGCCGCAGGGAAGCTTTTGCAACGTAACACTGCAACGGATCTGGGGCTCCTGGTGCTAAATCATGCAGCTGGGAGGAAGATGAAAATATTTTTTCACCTGCCATCAAACTGGTTACGGACCTGTAAGTATTTATCATTAGAGAACATTTGTTCCCGCTTATTCTTCAGCTCATGCTGTCTTCTAGCAGCTCTGTTTTCTCCTTCATTCAGCACGATGCACAAGGTTCAAACTAGTGTTTATATGTACGCAATAAAAATACTGATTGCTAAGTTAAGACTACCGAAGTGATTGCAATAGCCAGGGGAGACCCTCAAGCTTGAGTATTGTTGACGTAGAAGGAAGGGAAAACTATGTTTCTGGGGTACTTCGGTTTGGCTAAAGCAATTATTATGAATAGGATTTAATGTGAATGTGGATTTATTCAAAGGCTACGCCAATATTCATCCATTTTTCTCCGCTTATCTGTAGTTGGGCAGCGGAGGCAGCAGCCTAAGCAGGGATCCCCAGACTTCCCTCTCCCCAGCCACTTGGGCCAGCTCCTCCGAGGGAATCCCAAGGCGTTCCCTGACCAGCTGAGAGACATAGTCCCTCCACCGTTTCCTGGGTCTTCCTGTAGGTCTCCTCCCGGTTGGACATGCCTGGAAACCTCACCAGGGAGGCATCCAGAAGGCATCCTAAGCTGGCTTCTCTCGACATGGAGGAGCAGCAGGTCTACTCCGAGCCCCTCCCAGATGACCAAGCTCCCTATCTCTAAGGGAGAACCCAGACCCCCTGCAGAGAGAGACTCAATCCGGCCGCTTGAATCCACATTCTCGTTCTTTCGGTCACTACCCAAAGCTCGTGACCATAGGTGAGGGTAGGAACGTAGATGACCGCTAAATCGAGAGCTTTGCCTACAGACCTGTACAACACCTGCATCACTGCAGATTTGGCGCTAGACTCGTTTTCCCGTCATGCTTGAGCTATAAATGATGCTCTGATTGACTCACGCTGTAGCAGCATATGGAGACATCTCTTCGTGCTGTTCGGCTGACATTAAGACTCGTGTGTGATGCGGTTAAATATCACTGAAGCTAACGGGTAAGTAGAGACAAACACTACCTGCAGCTGTGCCAGCTCCAGTCTCTGCTCCAAGGCTTCCAGGCCACCTTTTCCCTGCTGTGATGCCAGGAATGTGAACAATCGCTGCCATTTCACGAGGACCTCTGAGAACTGGAACTTGTTTTTAAGAGAAGAAAGAAGGCTCTCATTCTGTCGCACTACTGCTGTTATACTTTGAGCTTAGATTGTCACGCTGAGCTTTTAATCATCATTTAGAGCCTACCAGAAATTGGGGTCGCCCTAGTGCGGTCATTTTGATGGCAGAAAAACCGTCCATCCTGTTCCCACCTATGGATGGAATCGGTATTTCATGACAATGCAAAGGGTTCAAAGGTTAATAATTCATAAAATAAAGAAACGATCAAAAAGGAAAGCACGCTCATGGTTGAAGGAACATTTTTTCACCACCATATGATTCAACTTAAGCGTATGACTTCACAATTAAACAAGCGTTCTGGAAATGTGTTCTGGATTTAGCTCAGGTTCTGTTTACCCACCAGATGCTTCGATGCATTTTATAAAGGTTTCCATATGCTGGTCACATTTGGCCTCATCAGCGTAGAAATACGTGCAGGCCCGGTTCCGTTCCCCGTGACTGTCACCCAACTGTCTGTGCGCTCCGGAGTTCTTCTGTTTGTAGTCCTCGCCTGGGGAGGAAAACACATTTGCATGCCTGTTTCTTCTAATTGCGTCATGAGCTGCGTACACAGACGAGAACAAAGCAAGGCGGCTTACCTGTGCTTTCTTTCCCTGCAGCAGAGACACATGAGCTAAAATAGGAGGAGAGTGAGAAGATACAGATCATTTGCTCCGTATTGGGGTCATGTTATAAAAGCGAGTTGCATCAGAGTTTGCGACCTGAACTTAATCTGTGAACTTTCGGGCCTCGTGGCGTCTAGTCACCCTAAACAGTGCATCAGGCTGAACTGCTTTACTGTTTGCTGCTGGCCCCACTCCCGTCTGGAGCATCACTCCACACTTGGCCTGTCTACCCCCCATCATGAGGCTCTGGGGAGAAAACAAACAGCCGACTAAACGGAAAGCGTCTAAAATGCAGGAGAAGTGTTTAGAATTATCTTATTTTAAGCTGTTTGTCCTTTTTGACGGAAGATAATGGGATCATGCCGAAATGCAATCTAGCCAACAGTTTGTGAAATTGTGCTATTTTTAACAGATTTTGGTATCTTGCATACTGTTGAGAAAAATCTTTTAATTTCTTTAGATTTGCTGTTTTATGGTTCATTTGAAGCTCAAAACCTGATTAAAAAAACCCACAAAATCTGGTCTAGAGAGTAAAAACAAATGTTTTAAAGACACTTAGCAGCTTTTTCATATTTTTGAATTTTCTTGAGCCAGTATGTGCTAAAATGACCCTTTGCAGAGTTATTGAAATGTCACTCAGACCCTACCGCCCTCCGTGGCCAGAGTACCACCCTTGCAACTTCAGAGTTGCGACGTGTTGGTGGATGGAGCTGACATCTGCTTCCAGCACATTTCCTGCATGTTTTAGATCATGAACACAGCTGATTTGTTTGATTTAGTGATGAATCATTCCTGTAGACACTAATAAAGCCTGAGGAGCAGTTAGATTAAGGTGTTGAAAAGACGAACACACAGCGAGGAGATAAAGCCTAATTTATACTTCTCCATCTGCGTCGGGACGGAGACACGCGATGCTATTACACGTCGACGCAAGAACCCTCCAGCAGGCTCACAGAGGAAGACAGAAGCAAGCCTCAAGTTTTAACGATCTGTCGAAAAAGAGAGAGAACGCAGGGTTGTGACTGGTGAGGATGCTGCTTCCGGTAAATTCATCAACAGCACCGTCTTTGCCGCTTCAAAAGACAAAGAGGTATTTAGCGGCAGACATGGCACAGATTGAAAAGCGCATCGCAGAAAAAGTCTGAAAATAGGAATGTTTATCCACCCGTAACTGAAGGAATGCAGATATGCGGCAAGCGTTTTATTCGTGGACAGAAAAGATGAGAAACGTGAGTTTGGAGGTGCCGATGACATGAAGAGGTGGAGGGAATGAGGGATAAATGTGTTAAAAAGTCTCCGAAATACATTAAAACAATGTAAACACACAATCGTGGGCCAGATACGTGACTTTAACGGTGGCGGGACACGCTACGCCCTCTGCTGTCTTTGCAGGGAACTGTTTTGCAACACCACCCAGCTGACGAAGAAGTCTGAAAGCAAAACGTTTCTGTCAATGCGTGTGCGTCTATCCCTCGTGGAGCCGACGGAGGAAATACGTTCCACTTCTGCTTTGAGCACAGAGCATTAATAATGGACACTAGGGGGTGCTAAAAGCAAGTAAAACTGCCAAGAGAGCAAAAATTTAGATGTTTTTATTTCAGAGAGCACCATCTAGGGGCAGAAAGTATGTACTGCATCTTTATCCCTTCTCCTTACTTTAGTGATTACGTCTGGAAGCAACTCCTTTTGCTCATGAATGCACCTCTAGCTGGCCAGCAGAGCTAAAACACATTGTTTTACATACATGCACACTGTGATCGACATCTGTTCATAAGCGGACGTTGAACGCTACTGGCTAATGCTGAGTAGGGCTCAATTCAAATTATGTGGGGCTCTACAGGACCAGAGGCGGGCTTAGTAAAACTAAATTGTTCTTTATCATTTCACAGGACAGGGTGAGGCTATCACTTTTACAGATTCCTGAAAAAAATCTTGCACATTGCCTAAAAGGGTGATGCTCTGAATTTAGACACACAATTAAAGCCTTTTGTCTTAGAAGACGTCACATTTTTTCCAACAGAAATTGGAAATGGGATGATACAACTTATACACATTGGCTGTGTCTCAATTCAGGGTCTGCATCCTACGTCGGCCGGTTACGTCACAGCGCCGCGACTCGGCCTGTCCCAATTCGAAGACTCCTTCAAATGCGGTCGACGAATGCGGCCTTCTTTTCGCCTGAATGAAGGATGGGTCAGGTGTATCCTTCAATGGGTAGCATTTCCCAAATGCCTTGCGGGCCGGCCGGCAGAAAAACTTAAAAACAATGGCGGACAGTGAAGCGGGAGCTGTCGGAGAGGATTGCGCATATAAATGTCAGTATAAACTTGAAAACTGTTAGGTTAAGGACTTTTGGTGATACATGAACGTTATTTTAGTTAGAAATGTTACAGTAAAAGTGCTTGTATTGCGGTCTCGGCTCGTATGTTCGGCCGCGCTCGGTGTCGTACTTCTCCCGCTACGTTTCCCCCTGATTTTAATAGAAGTTTGTATTTTAGGACCAAAAGAGAAAACCAGGGAATTTATTAAGCTTAGGGCAGAGATGGACCACATGATCACCGGAGCAAAGTATTCGGCGGCTGTGGCATGGAGGTACAATAACATCTCATATTTTAAAAACTCGTTTGAGTTTATTTTTTTCTGCGAAAACATGAAAGGAATAACCCGTTGTCCTCTTTTCTCTTCCTGTTTCTTTTCTTACATGTTTGTTAAGACTATTCTGGAGAAAATGGGCATCCAGGGGAAGGTGCCAGTGATGACCAGCTTCTGGAGCTGATCAGGGAGGACATGAGGCTGCAGAGGGAGGCAGAGCAGCAGAGGGCACAGGAGAGAAGGGAGAACTTTGACAGCTTTTTACTTTGCTAGAAAAAATGGTTAAGGAAGATTAAACATGTACATATAAAAGAAATATCTAAATAAAATCAGTTCTGCATTAAACTCTTGAATTTTATTTTTGTTTACAAATGAGAATTGTTTACTAGAGGGTATCTGCTGGGCCTTAAAGTCTTAAAAGGTGATAAATCGGTTTTGGTCAAATTAAGACCCTTAGAAAGTATTAAACACTATTATTACATCTTTGCTCAGGCTCAGCTTGTCGAAAGTATTTTCTCTGAATTAGCTCTCCAACAGTCAAGGAAATGATTAACCCCCAGAGACCCACGGTTGTAATATTACAACATCAGATTTAAGTCCACAAAAATAAACCTTCCCCATTTTTTTTCTTTTTAAAACCACATTTACATTGCTAATAGGTCCTATTGTTCAGTTCTGCAACACTATTGGCTGTTAAAATGTGTAAATAGGCCCGTTTATCTGGCCTCCTAGAACAACATGTGAAAGGTTAAAAAAATATTTTGCAGTTTTCTAAATTTGGGTTTCTGGGGGTTAAAAAGCTAAATAAAACGTCGAGCTCCATCGTTTAAAGTTCCTTCTCCCTTCTGCCCAGCGGTTCCACGGTTGCTAGGCGACGGAACGTTCGCCGAGGGAGTTCATGAAGGCTAGGCCTGTCCAAATTCACCGCCGTTAACATCCGGTCTACCCAGCCCACGTCGGCCGGGTAGACTGGGTCCTTCGAAGGATGCAGACCCTGAATTGAGACACAGCCATTAACTGATTGAAGATTTGTTGGCTTACAGGAAATGATAGAAGCATAAAACTGGAGAACATCCTCTGCAGTTGCTGGGCGCTGCAGTCAGCTGTCACTCTACAGCAACTCAAACTTTTACACCATGAAAGCTTTTAAATTTAAAACATGTGACATTTCAAAAACAGTTCTATAAAATGTAAAAGGTCATTGCTTAGGAAATGCTAAATATATCAGAGATTTTTATTTTACTTCTAAGAAATAATCATCAAAAATGCTCTTTATCAACTGTGAAGCTGACACGAAAATGGGCCACAATGCCTATTTTTTATTTTGAGCTGTGAGATGTTCTAATTAGTCCAAATGCATGAATGCTCAGAGCTGCATGAAGTAACTTTACTGCTGCCACCGTCTCCAGAGAGCCTGCTTGCATAAGGTTTGCACTGTTGTCCAAGTTTACATCAGAGAGCAGATCAAAAAGCTGCTGCCTTGTGCGGCCCATGTGACGAGATGCCTAACAAGTGATCTGTAATTATAGCGGCTCATACCAACTCACACAAACATATAAAGCACCTAAAACCGCTAACTTCTTCTTTTTTTTTGTTGCATATGTATAGAAATAATGCAAATGTCATACTTTATCTCTTGATTCTCATTTCGGCTGATGTCTTCCTCAACGCTGTAGTCCAGGACCGAGCCAACACCAAAAGCCTGGTTCTTCTGGATCAGAGGCTTGATGGCCACGTGGTCCTCTCCAGCAACAAACTGGCCGTAGAACGTGATCTTCATGAGCTGATTAAAGGCTTTTGGACCTAGGATCTTCTTCCCTAGATCCATTATCTAAGAGGGATAGAGGACGCCTAGAATAATCAGCTGGGGGCTCGACTGGCACATCACAAACCATTAAAGTCTCACACTGAATGTTGAATTATTTATTTAAGGTTAGATTTTCCTCACTCGTCGTTCCAAAGATCGTGGCTTGCCATGTTTTGAATTGACCAAATGAAACAGGAAAGCTGATCTTTCATAAAGCAAATGTCCTTTTTTCTAAGGACTTGCAAAGGAAACAAATTAAATGTTGGTCAGAGCATCAGATCATTGCTTACTGTTTAACGTTTGTTCTTGCTACGTGCTTTCACAACCACAGTCCACGATTCCAGCTGTTATACAACAGGCTCACCATGTGTGCATGCATTTTATGTTATAAGCAACACACCAGGTGTAACAACATAAACGTGTGTTATTAGGAGCAGTGCCTGAGGAGATGCACCAGTTCTGCTATCAAAGATTGATGCCATCTTTAGATGCTGGTACGACTCTGACCTGCTGATATAAAATCTGTCTGATTCTCAAATTTAACATTTTGTTTGGTTTTTGTTTTTGGGTAAAGTAGGAAAATCAAGATTTTCATCTGAAAAACCTTTAAGCAGAAGATCAGCTATTGCTAGTTTTAATCTGTGATTTGTAGGGTTGTCTAAAATGATTGGCTAACCATTCTTATTAGATGATATTAGCATTAAAATGTACTATTGACATTGTTGTTTACTCTTTTAATGACCCAACCTTTACATACCATGCACGTTTTAAACATCAGCCTCTTAAGCTATGTCTTCTCTCACTTAAAATGTCAAAATTTGGCAGATCTGAGATTTGTTTTTGATATATTTTTGTTTGTGTGGCACAGCGGGCCAAACTGAATGTGAATATGTTTGAAAAACAAACAAATTTGCTTCCCAAAAAAGCTGTGAAGCAACTGCAGCTTGTTCAGAATGCTGCTGCTAGAGTCTCAACAAGAACTAAGAGAACGGAGCACATCACTCCTGTTCTTAGATCCCTGCACTGGTTACACTGGTCCCACTAGTTTATAAATAACTCAGTGGCATGGGACCAAAATACATGTCAGATCTCATTCCTGTACCCCCAACAGGGCTCTGAGATCCTTAGGAAACAATCAGCTGGGAGAACTTCGGGTCAGAACCAAACAGGGTGGAGATGCTTTTAGCTACTGTGCTGCTCAGAGATGGAATTAGCTTATTAGTGTTATTTAAAACAAAACTTAAAAACCTAATGAAATGTTTCCTATGCTGCATCGTCTCCACTGTAATCTGTGATGTACTTGCTCAACCTTAATTCAGTCTTTTCCTTTCAGCTCTGAATTCTGTTATCTGTGCATGTTTTTAATTAATGTTCTCGTGTTTGTTGTTGTGCCGTTTAATGCTGACTGTAAAGCACATTGAAGTGCTCCTGTGTTTGAAATGTGCTCTATAAATAAAGCTGCCTGGCCTTGCCTAAACTGTAGTAGTTGCTGTTTTGCACTGATATCGTTTAAAGTGTAAGTATGCAGGAGGTACTTGATGTTGGTTACCTAAAATAGTACTTTTCTTTATGAAATGGGGACCCCACATATATTGGTATTATCAGTATCGGAAATGAAGCGTTACTATGTGTGTATGGTGGTAAAAAGCTAATATCAAACATCTTTAGTGCCTTGCAGTACGGCATTAACAGACCAAATAGTCAGTGAATGCTTATTTTGCTTACCAATTAATGATTTGGTTCACCTCAATTTTGAATTGAATTGTACCAAATATAAATGTTTATACTAACATGATCCAACTAATAAACATATTTATATGCAACATCCAACTGCATGTGAGCACGACAACGACGCTGACACTACCAGTGGACCTGCACGGCCAGATTCTTTTAGGTTGGCAGGAAATGGAGCTGCCAAACTAGTTTGGTGCTCACAAAAAGTGTGTTTTTGGCACAATCTCCATCCCATAGCTAGCTCATTACACTACCACAGGAGTGGCATTTGGCTGTGATGATGCGACACAGATGCACTGAGGTTGACATGAAAGGTTAGACAAAAACAGGCTGTAACTTGATGTGTGGTTGTGCAACAAGTCTGCTGGTGGCCGATGGGCTGCAGACTGCAGGCAATAGGTGGGGCAGCAGTAGCTCAGGTGGTAGAGCGGGTTGCCTCATGATCAGAGGGTCATGGGCTCGATTCCAGCTCCCGCCAGGGTTGTGTCCTTGGGCAAGACACTTCACCCAACTTGCCTGTGTTAGTGGTGGTCAGAGGGGCCGACGGCGCCAAATGTCAGCCTCGCCTCTGTCAGACCTCCCCAGGGCGGCTGTGGCTACAAGTAGCTTACCATCACTAGCAGTGTGTGAACGTGAGAGTGTGTGAAAGCGTCTTTGGGTGTCTAGAAAAGCGCTATATAAGTTCAATGCATCATTATTATTATTATTATTAATAGAGTGTTCTTATAGCTGCAGTTAGTTCGTGATTTAAATAAACGGACTAGAAAACCTACACGTTTTATAAATGTTTCTGGATGAATTATGGTTTATGAGCTGTAGCCCTGCATGCCTGCTCTGTTTGTTGACAGCTGTTATCTGGATTTTACAGAACTGGCATAATACCGTTAATCGTGTTGTTTGACGATACGTTAGCGTCATTATTTATATATCGAACGTGTGTGACGCTTTATTTTCAAACATCATTACCTCCATATTGTTATCAACCAGGAAGTCATAGGAACAAAGTTTGAAAACCAGCAAACTTCTGAGCAGCTCTGAGGAGGCTTTGCTCCTGTAAGCCTCCCTGGTCCGCTCAAAGTCTACGGAGGTCTTATTGGCGCTGGGCGGAGAGCAGGTGCGGTCTCCGCCTGGCTTCCTGGGAGAAGAGCCGCGGCGGCTTCCGTCCGAGTCTGACCGGATCGTCGAGATGGAGCGGAGTCTTCGGTGGGTCAGAAATCGCTTCGAGTGCCTCTCTGCAGCCGCCCCAGAGAGGGCTGACACGGTCCTCCTGGCGCTGAACATCCAGAGGAAGAACCCGACAACGCACGGAACTCAACAAACCACCGTTTTAGCTTCGTGCGCGCGACTGTGTAAAACAAACAGTTCAGGCTTGCAAATTAGAGCCACCTGATTGGTGGAGAGGTGGTGACGTACTGCTTCCTGCCTAAATAAAGAGTAGAGGAGTTTTCAGTGACTGGGCGACCGAGCGAAAGGGGGCACAATCATGGACGTAATTTTGGGGGGAACAGGGGGGACATGTCCCCCCCACTTTTTCCAAAGTCAAGTATTGACCCCTGCACTTTTTACCATCCAAAAACAATATTACGCTATATTAAATTGACACTGGTTGAGCTCTAGGACCAAGGGGAAAACAGTCAATTGTGTTGAAGCCTGTTTCCCATTAGAGCATACTGTAAAGATAACCCCCCCCCCCCACCCCCACCCCCCCACCCCCCTCCGTGTCCCCTGCACTTCTAAAGTGAAATTTACGTCCATGGGCACAATAATTAAAACACACATCTGATCATGTTGTTTTCGTTCTGTTTGCAAATGTAGCATGTTCCTGGACTCAGGCCCTCATAGAGCTTCCTCTTCATGCAAACATCGATTATCTAATCCTTTATTATCTGGGTTGTTGAGAATCTGGCCTCTTCAGTTTGCTTTCATGCAGCTTCAGCTCTTTAACCCAGTCCTATTTCCGAGATAAGTGTCCCCAAATCAAGTATTTCACTTGTTAAATGACCTTTATGTCAGTGACAAGGAACGTGCCATTCATTTTAAAGGGCCAAATACTAATCATTAATTACTTCAATAGAACACATGTTCAGTTATTAATTAGAAATGTTGCTGACTGTGAACATAACCATATAAAAAGGAGAACACCAGTACTTCTGCTGATGGGAGTGAACGGGGAGTATTATTGTAGCTCAGTGTTTGTTATCTAAACCCAACATTTAAATAAGTCTCCTCCCAGAGCCAGAGGAGAAAACTTTGTCCATTTGTCATTTCTCAGCTGGAACCAGAGGGGGGAGCTAGAGTCCCACATGTCCTCCGCAAAGACAACACGCTTCTGTTTTCTCTTCATTCAGGAACTAAAGTCTGTTAGAAACTATTTTAAAGGAGTTTAACATTTTATGAATCCATCTGTTATCAATGAATGCATTATTTTAGGTTAAGTGAGCTGTGCGTGCGCGTGCGTTTTTCTCCATTCACAAACTATTCCTCAAAAGATTTTGCATCATAGTGCTCCTATTTAATAAAAATAATGTTGAAACAAAAGTCCTGTTTTTAAAGAACATAAATAAACGACTGACCCTTTCCGACCATCAGAGCAGACCGTGCTGCGCAGGCCTGTCTGTGCAGATTTGGTGGCGGAGGCATGGCGCACAAAGCCAAAGATAGAGTAACAAATCAGGAATTTCCCTTCTGCCACTCCTGGGAGCGAATGAGAGGACCTGAGGTGAGGAATGAGCGCCTCTCCAAAGCGAGGTCGTCTTCATCAACTTTCTGAGAGTTTACCAAGAGTTTCATCTGTCCAGAAAAGTTGTGGGGGACATTTTAAAGTTTTTTTTTTCTCCCGCAGCCTGAAGTCATCTGACCCATGGATTCACACAGAGTCCGTTCTAGAAAAGCGCAGTGCAGGAGCATCGAGACAGCGGACTGAGTTGGAAGTTTGGACCTTTTTATTTTTAAGACAAAAAGATGTGGTTGGAATCGCTGCTGGTTTGTTTTTGCTGCTAACGTTTTGCTCTTGTTCTGAATGTTGGCCCAACCTCATCTGGAAGGAATAAAAGTTTGATCCAGAAATGGGATTACGCGCGTGAAGAAAGTGGAATAAAACCAACGAAAACGCCAGTTTGGATACGGAAAATGCGGAGAAAAAGCTGCGTCTAGAAGGATGCTGCTGCGTTTACAATGGAAGTGAAGAACTCGTTTGCACTTTCTGTGGTGGTTTGCCTTTACTTTTACTCTGCTTTTAGCCAAGAACTCAACCCCAAAGGCAAGAATGTGTGCAAAGCACCTGGGTAAGAACCAGAAAATCGCAGTGTGCCAACTTTCTACACGTTTTTATTTATTATTACTATTATTTTAGCATTTGGCGACTTTCTTCCCAATAGTCCAGATAGTGTGTGAATGTCGTTACTTATGTCGCATTTCTTTGCAAACAAAAGTGCATCTTAGACGCAAAAGTTGCGCTTTGTTGTTATCTTCAGCCATTGGTTTTGAAGTGAAAACGCCTGAATAGTGAACTTTGCTGAGATACTTTTCTGCACACTGACCTATTTTTCACGCATAACGCTGCAGCGGTCCCAGCAGGAGGAGGGGTCCGTTGAAGAAAGCAGCCATGCAGATGTTTAGCCGACATCTGTTGCACTTTTCAAAAGCAACCTTTCTAGACTAGAGCAAGCCTTTAACTTCTGAAATGTGGCAAAAGTCCACTGTTACACTTACAGCAACGTTCAAGCCTGCTCAACCCCCAACAGTCAAGAATGAACTGATTTCAGACCAGAAAGCGGGATTTTAGGGTTATTTTCTCTCATTTGCTGATATTTGGTGTGCTTCATTAAGTGCATCCCTTGTTTCCCATCTCCACTTGGATCAAAGTGATGGAAGCTTATCTAAAAAGCCACGCACTGCTACTTCCTGTGCATTAGAGAAAGTTACGCATCCCAGAAGCTGCTCTTCAAATGATATATGTTTAGTGACATCAGAAAGATCTCTGTTGACGATTATGTCTTTCCCATTGTTGCTCTAAATGTTTGATGTTTGCACTCAACATTCATTTATGACGACCTCTCCACTCACTCCTTTTCCTGTTGCTTGTTATGGTTTTATCTCATCCCCTGAATCACATGAATTAGGACAGCATTTATCACAGCGTTGTCGTCGTGTTACTGACTCAGCTACAGCTGGAAGGGAGACGTGGGATGTGCATGCTATCCTAATATGTTTGGCAAAGAGTTGCAGACGTAAAATACAAGTTGAGGTAAAAAAAAAAGAGCAGTCATGTGAAACGTTCAAAAAAGAAAAGAGAAATGACAAAGGGCTCCTGAAAATGGGACAACAAAACAAGTTGTTGTTTTTATTATCACAAATGATGAAAAACCATCCCGATATTATGACACGTCAAAGAGCAGAACGTGGATAGATGTATGATCTTAGACACGTGGCTGCTTTGTCAGGATAAAAAACAGTCCTCCTCCCTTTGAAAAAAAACACCATCTTCAAAGAATTTGGGGGAAGCTGACGTGTTGCTGGGGCCTAAAGAGGTCGCAGGCGTGAGAGGAAGAGGAGACACATCCGTCCTTTCCTGTCAGCCTGAAACTGTCTGCAAAAAATGACCATTAGGTATTCATGCTCTCTCCCCAGAGGCTGTGGAGAGCCGGAGAACATGATAAACTGCACACATTCAGAGGTTAAGCCCTTCAGAGCGCGTTTATCTCATGCAGTCCTGGAATTACCCAACACTGTCCCAAACAGCTGCCTCGTGCATGGTGCTTTGCGTGTCTTTGGAGATGTCGGCTGCATGATGGAGAGCTTGTGAAATCGAAGAGGCGTGATCTGGGTGTGGATGATGCCTCTTTGATATGCATTTGTTTTGTTTGTTTTTTCTCTTTTTTGCCCCAGCGCTCTCCATCTCTGCCCTCTCATTCTGTCTCGTAATGTTTTCCAGGTCATTGGGATGGCGTTGCTGCAGTGGATGGAGGCAGCAGGGGGACGAATGTGTGACACGTACGTGCAACAGTGCAAACGTTCATCACAAACGTGTCAAATGGCTCATTGTGTACCACAGACGGATAATTTGGCTTTTTGTTTTTTCACCTCAGCTCTCTGTGAAGGCAACTTCACCTGCAAGGAAAACGAGGTGTGTGTCAGGCCAAATGAATGCCGTTGCCGTCATGGTTACTTTGGAGCCAGCTGCGACACAAGTAGGTTTCCCTGTTCTTTCCACTCCTTTTAAACACAGAGGTTCCGTGTTTTCATTTTTCATGGCTCATGCTTGAAGACCGAGTAAATTGCACGTACATGGTAAAGGCCGTTTAGTCACTACTTTTAGTTGTGACAAGTTCAAGTGAGCGATTGGACCAGCAGTCCCGGCCCAATCGCTCCAGCGTCTATGGTGCCTAACGGATACTCGCTGTGCTGATGAACGTTTGATTTGTCTGCTAACTCTGAGCGAACAACGATGAATCGACTGGCCTTTAAATTCCAACCTCCCTATTATGTTTGTAATTGGCTTGATCTCACTGGAACCAGATATCTGTAAAATGAGATCCCTTGTTGCAGTTTATGCATCAATAAAGAAATGTTTGTAATCTTGTGGTGAAACTAAATGTGTGCAGAAGACAGAAAGCACGGTCAACATAAAACGTGTCTGATTTTATCGATGCTTTGTGTCATTTACATTCTATCGTGACAGCAATAACACCATTTAGGGTCATTTCTCATATTTATGCAATTAGCACTCAAAGCTGTGGTCCATAGCGTGATGTCATAACTCGTTCGCTGCCGGCCGTTTCCTGATCGCTAAAGCCCTCCGCTGACAGCGTTTCTCACTGTTTTTACAGTTTTTTTTAAGAGTCACAGAACGTTGCGTGCTAGGATGACGTCGACGCCAAAACAACAGAAACAAAGCGGAGACTCACCTCTTACATCGGGAAGAATCCGCGCGTTTCGAGCGTTATCCGTTCTTTCATAATCCGTTGTTGAACTGTGATCGGCAGAAGCTTCTCCAGTTCGTGTCTCACTTTTTTTACAGCAGCGGCCCAAAACGATCTCCTAACACATGGATGTTCTGCTTCCTGATCACGCGACGTGTGACGTACGCGGATGAAGATCGGCATGTTTGTTCTCACGGTGCGGGGGCTCATTCCGATGCCCACACTGTAAAAAATGCAAATGGCGACTGTCGTCATTGGCAGTGAATGAGTTAATGAGCAGGTTCACTGAGAAGCCATTCTTTACTTTTTAGTTTTGATAACAATCAGTCTTAGTTTAACATGCAGGCTGAACATGAAAGTTGTCTCCTACCCCTATTTCCTGCATTAGCTTCTGATCACAAAGACATCAAACTCTGCCAGATCTACATCACACGTTCACTTTAAGTCTCTTTCTGGCACCATCTAGTGGCTGACAAGCATATCACACAAATGATTGCTTCTTGAGTTTTTTTAAGTTGGCGACTTCATGTTTCTAGTCTATTTATGTCTTCCTGTAGCAGACAAACAGCTAAAACACGTTGTTTTACAAGTATTATTCTCATGTCATGTTTTCATATATTTATAGACTTACTTGTCTTTGAAAAGTTCATCAGCTCTGCATCGGCCGAGGTATTCCTTAAATTTAAAGCACGTCAGCGGTAGTTTACCGCTATTGGTTAGTTCTGGTCAGTGCTCAGTTTCCTATTGCAAGGAGCTCTGCGGGGCAGGGGGCGTGCTCAGAAGAAAAAATTGACTTATTGCTTACATTATGTTACAGTACATGCTGAGATAATCACTTTTACGGATTTCTGAAAAATCGTACATCATTTCCGAAAGGGGAAAACTCCGGAAAGAGACTTTAACATTCATAGACTCACCCGTCTTGACTCATGATGGGGAAGGCTGTTGTTGTCTAAGTGTCCAGGAAACGGCAGAGAGCATCTCGGCTAGTAGAAGCTAACTGTTAGCATTAGCTACTCCACCACATGGCAGAACTCCTCCAGGCTTGAGTTATTTGTAGAGATAAAACATCAACGTTGCAAAGCAAACAGGGTCAGATGGAGCTGGCAATCCGCTGTGGCGGCTCTCCTGCTGTGCTGTTAGCTGACTTTATCAACTCGTTTAGCAAGTTCAGTCCTTTCTTTGGGAGATTCCCAAACCAGGTTACCCGGGTAAAACCCAAGACAGACTCAGTCAAAGCTTTGCAAAACGTTTCCATCACTGATTCTCTAATTTGCAACAAGATGGTTTTCTTAAGCAGTTCAGCCTTTGGTGGCCTCTTACGTACATGTTGACCCTGCCCAGTTACCTGTAGGAGTCTACCGATTCAATACTTTCTCCTTTAATCCTCGTTGGGGTACACATTGTTGTTGTATTACGTCAATAGGTTTAGCTCCAGGTGGAATTCCTCACAACAAGACACGCTTTTGTGGATACTTAAATCTATTGGTCAGCTGTCTAGGCTCGCATAAATTATTTGTTTCGCTCTGGAGGCCGGGTGAAGGACTTAGGAGTAAAATAAATTACCCATTTTATATCATATAAAAATGTAATCATTTTTGGAGTTACTTTAACATGTTTAAGCTAAACTGCCATAGTTCTTGGAAACTATATCCTGTCCCTGAGGTCACAATCCTGCATGTTTTTATTGTTTCTCTGCTCCAACACAAGGGATGTGAGTGACTTTTATTAACTGGCTTTTGTAGATTTCAAGGGCATGCTCAACTTCAACCATCAGTCGGGTGTAAAACACGTAAAACCTCCAGCGTAGTTGGTCCTTGAGGGCCACTGGAGCTAACTGCTTTAGAACTTTGTATTTAAAGAGTGTTTTTTCTTTTTCCGCTTCCTGTTTACTTTCTGTTTGAACAGAATGTCCTGCCCAGTACTGGGGCCCAGACTGCAAGGGGAAATGTAACTGCTATCCTAATGGCCAGTGTGACGACGTGAACGGGAAGTGTACCTGCAACCACAACCGCTGGGGAACTAACTGCGAGAAGGTTTGTCTTTGCCAAAAAGGCAAGTGTGACCAAGAAACAGGGAAGTGCATCTGTCACCCTGGAGTGTGGGGCCCGCAGTGTAACAACAACTGCTACTGCAGCGTCAACTCCGTTTGCGACGTGAACACGGGGCGATGTCTGTGCAATCCTGGCTGGACGGCGAGAAGCTGTGCAACCCAGTGCAACTGCAACAACTCCCCATGCGACCAGTACACAGGGCGCTGCCAGTGCCGGGAAAAGCTGTGGGGTCCACGGTGTGAGAGGTACTGCCAGTGCATCCACGGCAAGTGCAACCAGGCGGACGGCTCGTGTACCTGCACTCCAGGATACCGCGGGAAGTTCTGCAGGGAACCGTGTCCTGCTGGATTCTACGGTCAAAACTGCAGGAACAAGTGAGCGACGTGTCTAATGTTCTGTTTCCTCGTCTGATTTATGTTGTCGCACAGTTTTAGGGCCGTGATAGAACGTGCACTTAGCTATGTGCTGCAGCTGAGGACTGTTAAGACTGCTGAATAACACTTAATGGAACAAAATAAACTGAGATTTGGAAGCTGTTCTTCATGTCATCCATAATTATTGCACATAAAAGCCATTCAGATGAACTTATTTACCTTCCATAGCCTAGCTTATGCTCGATCAAAAAAGAAAAATACACTTTTGTCCAAAAGATTCATGTTAATTCCTTGTCTGGTTTCCTTGTTTTCTACCAGGTGTGGACACTGCAAAGGCCAGCAGCCTTGTAAGGTCACGGAAGGACACTGCATCACCTGTGAAAGAGGCTGGAATGGGACACGGTGTGATCAGCTTTGCTCTAAAGGCTTCTTTGGGGAAAAGTGCCAAGAAGTGTGTCCTGCGTGTAAGGACGGTTACCACTGCGACCCCATCCAAGGCAAATGTGCTCACTGTAACCCTGGCTGGATTGGAGACAGGTAAAGAAAAGTTGCAAACAAAATGTCTTGTTTGATAAGTACTTAGTACTCTTTTGAGGTATTTGAACTATGGTTGCAGCTGGACATGACCCTCTGGGTGGGTTCTCCACAGAGGCGGTTTTACCTTTAGGCATAGGTCGGCGGCCGCCCTAGCCCTGACCGCCGGCACCCCTCTGTTAATGCCACAATATTCTTATTACCAACCTGTGGCCGCAGACGGGATTGGACATGCTTCTCATTACATAATTCCTGAACCGTTCAAGATATCATTAAAATTCCAAAAGTTCTGAAAAGATAAAAAATGGGGCTTTTCGTGCATATACAAGACATTACGGTATCCACCGGGATTCCCTGTCTTGAGCGCAACGAATCACAACAGATTCAGAGACGTGCTGAGTTTGTCATCCAAAATGCTCCATTTTATAACTTTTGAATGGCTGATCAGATTCAAAAGATCCCAACGGTTCCTAAAAGTACATAAAAGCAGCTTTCCAACGATCTATAGCATGAAGCAATCAGAGTTAGGGAACATATCGCTACGAGGGGAAATCCTGCTGTACAGCCTGATTGAAACGGAGCGCAGCGCCGCGGTGAAAGCGGATAACGGAACGGGGAAGCTAATTAGCATAAAAACCAGCATGAAATTATGGAAATGCCTCAAAGAAAATCAACACGATCTATTAGGTGTCCCAGAAGGCTTATATCTGAAGACAGTGACCCTGAAGAAGGACAGATCTCCTGTGAACCAGGATATGAATGTTTGTTCAGTCTTTATTTGTTATTTTTTTTATTTAAACAACCCTCAACTATTTGCTAATTGTAAGATTCAGCTTCATTCCAGCATTATTTATCTTTTTACCATAAATAATTATTTTTGCTAAAACAAAAGTTTTTGGTATAGCAGCACGGTGTGCCAGAGAAGCACCCCATGGCAGTGTGAGGTGTGCAGGACTGCCTGCAGCTGGAGAGAAACTGCTTCAAGGTCTACCACATCAAATAAAAACGTCTGAAAGTTTACAAAAATAAATGGTCGTAAAAACAGCTAAAAAAGATACCAAGGTTCAAACTTTTTTAAGATTTGATGCATTTCAGTTCAAAGTTTAAATTGTTTGCTCAGTAATTTTGAAGTTCCTGTTCAGTAATAAATGTAAGAAATTCAAATCCGTTTTTTGATTTTTTCACTTTTAAGCTGATTTTTTAAAGGCTATAATAGAAATAAATTCTAAATACAAACCATACACTGAAAGCTGAGGTTGTTCTGAAAAAAGGAGAAGAGTTACACACACTTTGTACTTTTTATTACAATTTTACAGCCATAAGATTAAAAACATACCAGGCGGCCCTGTTATAATTATGGTCGTAAGAGGGTTATTAAGACGGCAATGCACAACCAGGAAGTGATTGGTAGTCATTCCACTCCAATCCAGATGGTGGCGGTAATGCAGCAAACTGTTGTTTGCCAAGTGCTATAAGACCACAAATAAGAAGAAGAAGAGAGGTGGGAGCGTTCGTAACAAACTCAAAGCGATAGTCAAAACATTAAGCATGACATGGAGTTATCCTAGTGGCTCCAATAAGAGGAAGAAGCAGCATGCTTCATAAAAGCTTTTATTTTCACTTCTGAAAGTGACGTCATTTTTTTATGTAAACATCAAAGGACGCAGAAAGGAAAGACAATGGAAAATGTTTAAAGGGAGGAAAACATCGAACAAAATGGAAAATAGAAAAAAATATAACTAAGGCTAAAGCACAGGAGCACTGACAGGAAGAAGAAAGCAGAGCAAATATTGAAAGCGCTCAAAAGGAGAGAAATACAGGAAAAAAGAGGAGGACTAATAAAAAGGGAAAATAACTCGTGTCAGAAGAGGCGGCAGTTTCGCAAATCCAGTTAAAGGTAAGAGTGTCAAAAATTTTGTGTAAGGGGCCCCATGTCTGTGTTCGCCTTGGGCCCCATGTCTGTGTTCGCCTTGGGCCCCATGTCTGTGTTCGCCTTGGGCCCCATGTCTGTGTTCGCCTTGGGCCCCCAAATTGCTAAATCTGCCTCTGGTTCTCCAGTCATTGGAATGTTGTAGGTTCGATCCTGGCTCCCACCAGAGGATGCAGCTGTTGTGTCCTTGGGCAAGACACTTAACCTTAACCTGCTTTGCCTGGTGGGGGTGTTCGGAGGGACCGGCGGCGCCAGTGTTTGTCAGAACATTATTTTTAATTATTATTTCTGATTATAATCGGTCACTCTGAGTGTTTCAGCAGAGAATGTCTCTACTAGAAGCTAACCATTGTCTGTAGCAGCTGCACCACACAGCAGAACTCCTCCAGGCTTGTGTTATTTGTGGAGATAAAACATCAATGTTGGAGAGAAAACAGAGTCAGTGGTGGAGTTTTGTTGCTGTTAGCCAGTCAGAAGCAAGATGTCCAAATATCAGGAAATAAGACTCCAGATTCTGTCGTCTGAAGCTACTTTCTCTTTCAGCTGAATTCTCTGTGCTGAAGCAGGCACACCAGAGCTCTTTTTCCCTCAGAGTACGACTCACGAGGCATCCATTCCTATAAGAGTTGAACTGAAACTCATTATTTTGCTGCGATGTGATTCACTTCTATTCAATTCAAGTTTATCTATAAAGCACCAAATCACGACAAGAGTCGTCTCAAGGCACTTCACATAATAAACATTCCAGTACAGGTCAGGTCATTAAGCCAATCAGAAATAATGTTTCCTATATAAGGAACCCAGCAAATTGCATCAAGTCACTGACACAGGCGCACCAGAGCTTTGTTTCTCCTGAGAACAGGTTAAAAGGCATTCACCCCTTCTATAAACCACTGCAAATCTACTGATGAGTGAACCACACCTTTAAAATATCTAAAATAACAATTCTGGAATGGAAACCTTTCATTCATGGTGCTGGAAACCAAAATTTGATACCTATTTGGTACCGGTAGCCAGGTAGCGCTGTTCCTTCAGCTGCTGCACGCCACGTGACTGGGGGATGCTGCTCTCTGGAGGACTAAGAAAACGAGGAAAAACATCTACATTTTGTCTGTATTTTATGAAAATAGACAGCAACAGAGCAAAATGTAACATCCAAGATGAAATTTGTGTCACTAAATGGCATCAATATGTGAGCCAGAACATGCACTGTCTTTGCTGCTCTCTTCATTTTTATACGTGTGTTTATTTATTGATTTATTTTTTATTTTGGATTTAAACCTTTTTATTTCAGGTTTTCAGAGTAGATGTTTTACATTTCTTGCACCAAAGGATAGATGTTTGTTTGCTGTATTTTGTTTTGTTAAAACTATTAAAATACCTTTCTTCTATTGAAAATAGACCTGGTTACCACAAACTAGATATAATTAAAGTGCTAGTATAGGAAAATAAAATCTAAATGCATCCAGCCTTACTTATTCAGAACTTCGTGGTGAGTTTACGGATCGGTGAAGAAGTTGCATTTGTTGTTGCAGCTTAGTTATGATGCAAGATGACAAATATTAAACCTTTTTGAATTTTTTGGTCCAGATTGGCCAATCACGTATTCATTTTGGGTGACTTAATTTAACACCCGTGTCTTTGTTATGCATTTCTGCGCAAAACATTCTTTAACGGATGGTGGGGGAGACCAGGCAGGCCCAAACGTATCGCAAGGGTCTGCTGGGAACGTCTGGCAGAGTCTCCTGTCAGAAGGAGCTTCAATTCCCACCTCCGACAGAACTTCCAAAATGTTCCGGGGGAGGCGGGGGACATTGAGTCTGAATGGACCCTGTTCCGTGCCTCCATGGTTGAGGTGGCCGACCGGAGCTGTGGTCGCAGGATCGTCGGTGCCTGTCGTGGTGGCAACCCCCGAACCCGCTAGTGGACACCGGCGGTTAGGGATGCTGTCAAGCTGAAGAAAGAGTCCAATCGGGTCTTTTTGGCCTGTGGGACTCCGGAGGCAGATGACGGGTACCGGCAGTCCAAGCGGAACGTGGCTCGGGTGGTCGCCAAGGCAAAATCCCTGGCATGGGAGGAGTTCTGTGAGACCATGGAGCAAGACTTCCGTACGGCTTCGAGAAGATTCTGGTCCACCATCCGGCACCTCAGGGGCGGAAAGCAGTGTGCTACCAACACTATCTATAGTGGGGACGGTGTGCTGCTGACCTCTACTCAGGACGTTGTGGATTGGTGGGCAGAATACTTCGAAGACCTCCTCAATCCCACCGACACGTCTTCCAGTGAGGAAGCAGAGTCTGGGGACTTTGGGTTGGCCTCTCAGATCTCTGGTGCTGAGGTCACTGAGGTGGTTAAAAAGCTCCTCTGTGGCAAGACTCCAGGGGTGGAGGAGATCCGCTCGAAGTTCCTTAAGGCTCTGGATGTTGTGGGGCTGTGTTGGCTGACGCGGCTCATGGACATCGGGGGCAGTCCCACTGGACTGGCAGACCAGGGTGGTGGTCCCCCTTATTTAAAAAGGGGTCCACAGGGTGTGTTCCAACTACAGGGGGATCACACTCCTGAGCCTTCCTGGTAAGGTCTATTCAGGGGTTCTGGAGAGGAGGGTCCGTCGGATTGTTGAACCTCAGATTCAGGAGGAGCAATGTGGTTTTGGTCCTGGCCGTGGAACACTGGACCAGCTCTAGACCCTTAGGGGGATCCTGGAGGGTGCGTGGGAATTTTCCCAACCAGTCTACATGTGTTTTGTGGATTTGGAGAAGGCGTTTGACCGCATCCCTCGGGGGGCCCTGTGGGGGGTACTCCGGGAGTATGGGGTACCAGGCCCTCTGATACGGGCTGTTAGGTCCCTGTATGACCGGTGTCAGAGCTTGGTCCGCATTGCCGGCAGCAAGTCGGGCTCGTTCCCAGTGAGAGTTGGACTCCGCCAAGGCTGCCCTTTGTCACCGATTCTGTTCATAAGCTTTATGGACAGGATTTCTAGGAGCAGCCAAGGTGTGGAGGTCATCCATTTTGGTGGCCTGAGGATCAGGTCTCTGCTTTGTGCAGATGATGTGGTCCTGTTGGCTTCATCAGAACGTGATCTTCAGCTTTCGCTGGAGCGGTTCGCAGCCGATTGTGAAGGAGCTGGGATGAGAATCAGCTCCTCTAAAGCTGAGACCGTGGTCTTGATTCAGAAAAGGGTAGAATGCCTTCTCCGGGTCAGGGATGAGGTCCTGCCCCAAGTGGAGGAGTTTAAGTATCTCGGGGTCTTGTTCACGAGTGAGGGAAAGCTGGAGCGTGAGATCGATAGGTGGATTGGTGCTGCATCTGCAGTGATGCGGGCGTCGTACCGGTCTGTCGTGGTGAAGAGAGAGCTGAGTCAGAAGGCGAAGCTCTCGATTTACCGGTGGATCTACGTTCCTACCCTCACCTATGGTCATGAGCTTTGGGTAGCGACCGAAAGAACGAGATCGCGGATACAAGCGGCCGAAATGAGTTTTCTCCGAAGAGAGGCTGGGCTCTCCCTTAGAGATAGGATGAGAAGCTTGGTCATCCGGGAGGGGCTCGGAGTAGATCCGCTGCTCCTCCTCATTGAGAGGAGCCAGTTGAGGTGGCTCGGGCATCTGGTCAGGATGCCTCCTGGACGCCTCCCTGGTGAGGTTTTCCGGGCACGTCCAACTGGGAGGAGACCTAAAGGTAGACCCAGGACACGGTGGAGGGACTATGTCTCTCACCTGGCCAGGGAACGCCTTGGGATTCCCCCGGAGGAGCTGGCCCAAGTGGCTGGGGAGAGGGAAGTCTGGGCCTCTTGCCTTAGGCTGCTGCCCCCGCGACCCGACTCCAGATAAGCGGATGAAAATGGGGCGATGGACATTCTTTAATGCATTTCCGTTCAAGTCTCATGTTCCCAGGTCTGAAAGCAAAACTTTAGCTTTTTCTTTTTTCACGTGACAGGTGTGAGGTGCGCTGTCCCAACGGCACCTATGGAGAGAACTGCGAGAACAACTGCAGTCACTGTTTTAACGGCATCTGTCATGTTGTCACTGGAGAATGCCTTTGCGACCCGGGCTTCTATGGCATCTAGTAAGTCACGAGACCCATAAAGGAAAAGAAACTGCATGTTCATGCCCTCAGCTGTTTAAGCATACAGAGTGAAATTATTTGATAGTTCACATTATGTTTGACTTTTTATGGCTTTAGGACTTCAGGTAGAAACATTATTTGTGTTACTTGGGTAAAAAAACATTAAGCGCTTTGCTTTTGTCTCTTTTCTCTGCTCAAGCTGCAATATGACTTGTCAGCCTGGTCAACATGGCGTCAACTGCAACCAAAGCTGCCCCTGTCATCACAAGAGCTGTGATCCTGTGTCTGGTGCCTGCCATCTCCGTAAGAAACTCCTTTTTTATGGCGTCCCTGTACTTTGGATGTAAAAACTGGTATTTTTCAAGGAAAGAAAAGTGCTCCGTACAAACTGAAGCACCTCAAATTCATGAATGACAGCAGTTGCGGTTGCGCCTGAAATGTCTAGCGGCTGGCTGTACATACTGTGGAACAACAAATGCTGCTATTCAGGTCAATGTGTCTGTTGGGAGACTCTGGGGCCCTGATAACATTTCCAGACCTAAACCGGTGTCCTTTTTACGGCTGTGTTTGTTGGCTTTAGTCCTGACCAGCCAGTGTGTGTGTGTGTGTGTGTGTGTGTGTGTGTGTGGGTGGGTGGGTGGGGGTGGGGGGGATGAGAAACTGGAAAGAAGAAGAGAGATTAGAAAACCTGAGGGTTTGTTTGGGATCGAAGCAGTAACACACACAGAGATGCCTGGGATTCTGGCCAGTGGTCGTGATGAATGGTGGCAGGTTGGTCAGTACTATTGCTGGACCTTGTCACTCTTGCATCACCGCCTCGCTTGAAAGTTGGTAATTACAGCAGCTGCCACACCCTAACTGCTCAGCACGATTTATGATGGTTACCCCTTAAATGAAGAATTTACTTCACTTCTAATTCCCATTTGTCCTTCCAAGCACAAAATATTGTGCATGAATAGGCAATGCAGTTTTTACTATATTATATCTGGGGTGTGTTCCACTTAGGAGAGGGAGGGGTGTTAATAAATCATCAAGGACTTATGATGATGATGGGAGTTTGGTGAAGAGGGGGTGAAAGGAGGAAGCTTATTGCAGGAAATTTACAATAAAACGGAAAGTGGTTTTCAGTCTTGGCTCAATCATTTTTTACAAAAGCCATCGCATAATAAAAATCATGTAATGGAGGGTTTCAACCCTAAAACTGTTCAGAGATCCAGTTTTTAAAGCTAATTAAGGTTAAAAAAGGCAACTTTTTCTTTTAAAACTGGCATTCCCTGCAGAAGTGGCACACCCAGCGTTCCCTGTATTTTATCTTTCAGAGCCCAACCAGCGGATGGGTGTGATCGCAGCTGGTTCCCTGGTCTCCTTTTTACTGATTGTCCTTCTTTCACTGCTGTTCTGCTGCTGCCTCTGTCAGCACAAAGACAACCCCAAGTGAGTGACAATTAACAATTAGGCAGATTTATTCTCTACAGGCATGGTGCCGTTTAATAAAACACCATGATGTGTAAGGGGTTTCTGCTGTGTGGTCAAAAATTCAGCTTCCTGTTTGGTTTCTTTTGTGGGTAAAAATAATAATAATAATAAAAACGTGTTGTAGACAGCCAAGTTTTAAATGCCTGTTTTAAATGGTTCATTTAGATTTCCATGCCATCATCCCCTTTTCAGCATTAACTAAGAAAACTCTCCCAACAGCAAAAAAGCCAAACGGATTTTGTGTGGACGATTCAGCAGAATCAGCACCAAACTTCCCCGTATTCCACTGAGGAGACAGAAACTGCCCAAAGTAGTCGGTAAGACCCAAAACTTCTCTGATATCTCACCACATCGCTTCCTGAAGCTTTAGCTAATGTGTTTGCTCTTATTTAGTATGTTACTGCATATAAAGTGTACTTTTTCTGCTTCTTTAACAGCTAAATAATAGTTATGGTGTAAAACTCTAATCCAGACCTACAATTTGACGTGTTTAGAGACAATGACGGCAATTAATGGCAGTTTGTGCACTCAGTGCAACCTTTGTCTGCTGCATAGATGAGGAACGGGGTGAAGAGTGTATGGTGGCTGCCAGGCGAGGAGGGGATTTCATTTGAAAGGAATGCACTGGTTTCAGACCCCCCTTATTATTCTTGGCACTTTCAAATGCCATGTGTTCATATTATTACATCTCTAAACGTGGTGTTTTTTTCTTGACCCATTTCCATCATTCTCCTCTCCACGTTTTTTTTTCTTGCACTGAGAAGGAGGCTATGTTATTAAATGTGGTTGTTGGGGGGCCCGTCTGGTGGTGAGTGACGTTCTATCAAAGGCAGCACTGTTTGGGTAGATGCTGCTGCTCCATGCGGAGGTCTCGTGGTGTGTGTGACAGGCCTGACTGCGACCGCAGTCTCTTTTTTGTTGTAGACAGAGGAGATGAGCTGATCTTTTAAACCCCACAGCAAACAGTTCATCGTGGTGGTTTGTTTCATATCTTTTATTCAGAATTCAAAAATCCTTTTATAGATTACAAACCTTAAGAATTTATTGTTCTTTACTAATACCGTATTTACATGAGAAATAAGTTTTTTGTCATTTTCAAACAAATTACTACACGCCATGCTGTGGCAACACTTTACACAACAAGAAAATGATATTGTAATGCGTTGCATATGTAGCGTTGTGGTTTTAGGCTCTTTTATGAAAGAGGAACCATGCTACGTATTAATTCGGAATATTAATTTTTAATAAACCAATAACCAAATTTTATATTGTTAAGAAGACTCAAAGGTTGTTTTCATCGATACACTGACGATAATATCTGTGTGTCTGTGTTTCAGTTCAATGAACAAACAAGTTTGGGAATTAAAAGTTTTAATTCTTCAAACTAGACTAATGATTTTGAAATTGACAAACATGGGAATAACAATCAACATTGGCAACTTGTGGGACAATCGTTAACAGTTGATATGATCAAATAGACCTTGTGGTGAATTTATGAAGATTGAGAATGTTGTGATATGAATGCGTGTGTGAGTCTGATTTTGCTTCAGGAAGAAACAGGTGTCTGAGTGAAGTGATGGTTTGGATAAACTTAGGTCTTATCAGAGAACTGCATCAAACGCTAAACACCGTGCTCTGTCTCACCGAACTCTTGTGGACCCTCTTTCGGATCCGGGCTGTGGAGGATGGTGATGGTTCATCCAGATGACACCAGCGGCTGACAGGGGAGACGTAGGTGTCGAACGGAACCGGTCCAGAGTTGCCCTCGGTACACGTTGATGGTAAAGCGTTTTGTCGATGCGTTTTCTTAAGTTAATTCACTCAGAAATCAAAGACTCTGTATGAGCCTGCGTTAGAAGTTGCAATTCAGCTGTCCTGTCTGGCTTGGCAGGAACAGCGTGGGGGGGGGGGGGGGGGGGGGGGGGGGGGGGGACGAGCCAACCGGCTCCCCCCTTCGGTTTCTTCAGGTCCTCTCTCTTTCGTTGTCAAGCACGAACTGCAATCATAAGACTGAAACTTACCAAAAGCCTTTCTCTTCTCAAAGCAAACGTGTGCGTCAGCAAATGTGTTTTGGAGTTTACTGTGAGAATCTGTGTGTGGGTGTGTTTGAGTGTGTGTGTGAAGGTCAGTAACAAACATCCTCAAACATTATCTAATTAAGTGTGGATTCATTAATCCATTATAATTACCCAAAGCATAAGAATCCTTCATTTGATTAAACACATTTATAATGAGCAAAATGATAATGATTACTTTAACATTAAAATCAAGAAACAAAGTTTTAAGACTTGTTATGACTACTTGTCCATGAGAACTCCTCCTTCTGGTACTGCAGGTGGCAGATGTTATGGTTTCCTCCCAGACTCGCTGGCGTTCAGGTCTTAATCTGTGGGTGAAAGTTCTCAGCGACCCAGCTTTGACCCAGCTGAGTCCAACACCACCTTTGTGACAGAAAACCCATATTTCCTCACGTTACACATATCAACAGCAAAACAGATTTCTGCATTTTTATTAGTTTTACTGCAGATTTTTCTTATTTTGCACGAATAAAATCATATTGTACAACATTTTAGAGACTTTCATGTAATCAGATGTAATGCATCTGTCAGATTGTCCCACCGACCAAAACAAAGGCACAAAAATCCATCATGGAGCAATAGAAAACAATTAACTTTTGTCTAATTTTGTCTTAAATGGATAAAAACAAGATATAATGCCAAATAAAGTATTTATAATTCTGATTTTAAGACATTAGCCTCTATATTATGATTAGCACTCTCCACTGAAATCTGCTTTGTCAAAATTGTCTTCCTCCCTCTGGTGGTAGATTCTGCAGGTGCTGAGTGACAATTTAATTTATTTTTATTATTTCGATAGAATTAACTAATATTACCCCACAAAATTTCTTTATTTAACTTCAACATTTTTTCCTGATGGTTATTTAATTGATCAAGCTTTAAAGACTAAGTTCACTCTTTTTTTTCTTAATACATTTGCTCTGGTCTCTAGCATAAATGAATGCCTTGTGAGTTGTTTCTGTGGGGTAAAACCTGCCCCCGGGGCAGAAAACAGCAGAATTAGGAGTCTTACTGTATTTATGATATTCGGACATCTCGTCTCTGCTTGGCTAACAGCAACAGGACTCTTTCACTGCCAGTGTTCGCTTAGCAAATTTGATGTTTTACGTCCAACAAAAAACACAAGCCTGATGGAGTTCAGCCATGTTGTGGAGATGCTAATGCAAACTGTTAGCTCTGCTCTCTCTTGGACACTAAACCAACGACAGCCTTCCCCGCCGCGAGCCCAAAAACGTGACTCCATGAATGTTCATTTAGCAATGTGACGTGCAGTTGACTGGCTTTTCTAATCCGAGCGTTTTCCCGTCTGTTTTCTATCAGTGGCTGACTTTGGTCTTTAAAAAGTTGAAAAACAGAAATAATTTTACCACTCAAATCCATGCAAATTTGGCTTGAGCATCACAATAAACTGTATGTGGAAGCTTAAGACATTATTTAGCCTTTGGTTTGTTTTGGAGTTAGTTTTAATCCTGATCACTTTGTTTTGTACTAACTAGGACAACTTATGCTAATATGGATATTGGAAGGGGGTGGACTTTAAAAGTGGGATTGTTAAAAACTTAGTTTTTTGCTTCTCCCTGTGGAAGAAAGTTTTGCATTTTCTAAAAAATAATAGCCAATAGTCGACATAGTTACTTTCTGCACTGTAGCAAAAATAAATAAATAATTTAATAAATAATTTGAGCTGCCTTTCGGCCTTTCTTTGTCCCAACCCTGTTACCAACAAAGTTTGAGTCTCAGTTAAAAGCAGGGGCGGCGTTAGGCCCGGCTACTTGGGCTCAAGCCCCGAAAGTTTTATGAAAAGCCCCGGATCTAATTCGTGGAAGTAACATGCAGTACCAAAGTCCAACAGAGAGGGAGCAGCTGGCAGTAGTTTGTATACAGCCTGCCTGAGCCTCCACCACTGAAGAAGAAGCCCTTCAGCAGCCGGCTTCTTCTACACTCTCTGCCTGAAACGCATGAGTGAAGATGGACATAAGGACGTTTTTTAGACCAAAAGTACGGCGACAGAACCCCAGCTTTGATGAGACTGGTGCTGACTCAGGTTTGTGAGTCTTATTAGAAAATATTTGTTGTGCTGCTGGTTTGCCTAAAGTTAGCTTACTATCAGGTAAAGTTGCTGGAGAAAGGAAGGGAATATTTACAATCATCTCACACTAAACACTAACAGGAACAATACTCTGCCCTGAATATGCTTCATATGTAGCTTCAGATTAAAAATTATGTGGTACAAGACATGTATATATGATGTTGACTAGTGTGTGTCATGTGTGTGTTAAGCCCCGGATCTTCTTCAGTCCTAAATCCGCCCCTGGTTAAAAGGATAAAATCGGAATGGTTTCCCTCTGTATTATGAAATGTTATTAATGTGGATGAAGATATTTTATTGGTTGGAAAAATAAATTGTTTTGAAAACCATCTGGAGTAATGTCGACAGGGTCTGAACTGTATGTTCCTCTTCGCTCTTCCAGCTGTTTTCCTGTTTCAGACAAAACCCATCATTTTCATCTCAGTTGAACTAGAAAGTTAAGTTGATTTTTGATGGTATGAAATCGTAGCGATATAATGATTTAAATAAAATGTAACATTTTTGAAGTGCATCTTAAATGTTCTTTAAAATGGTGGAAAAACATCATCTGAGATCAAAAAGTTACTTTGGTTACCCTTCCTGGTTTTCAGATAACTAGCAGGTGTTTAAAAATACTAAATCAAGAAAAGTGGGCAGGCTTCCCAAGAAACGTGCAGTTTTGGAGTCACGTGACTCGTTGCGTACCTCTAGGAAAACTTAGAGGAAGACGTGCTTGACTGGTTATTTTTAGTTGCTGTGGTAACACCGATCCAACTATTTTAAGGATGGTTAATGTTTGTTTATGTTGGGGTTGTACTCCTGTTTGTCTGGACATCGCGTTCATCGACTTCTACAACAGGAAATGTATATGATAAGCATAGAGATCATATAAACGTAGACGCAACATGCACTGGGGCTTTCTATTGACACTGGTGTAACTGTGGGCCGCCATGTTGGATGGGTCAGCAGTCGCCCCCAGTGCATTCATTGGGCTAGAAAAGTCAGTAATTCCACATAATCTGTTTTCAATAGTATGCTGGTTGTTGGAACCATAGACTGCACAAAAACAGACACAGTTGCTCATTCAGCATTGACTCCGATTAGGTTTTGGAGAGTGAGGGACCCATCCAATGTGGCAGCGAAGTGGTTATACTCCAGCTCATTGTCGTCT